TACAAAATGAATCTGAAATACTTTTTCGATTACAATACGTTTTCAACCATTACGCATGCGTGCGTAACATATCCCAATCGTACCTTCTGAGGTAAGGCAAATGGAGTGTGCTCTTAATTCCTTAATTCAAACGGAGTATGCTCTAACGCGACGCGAACATCTAATCGCCATATTGGTTCCGGTGACGCGAACGTATTGGAACATATTGGAGCGACGCAACAAACCTTATCTTTACACGGATATCCTCAATCAGATTTAACAACCATAGTTAAAAACCAATCACAGTCATTCCATTCTTTAGAAAAACAGCTATGATTGGCCAGTTAAGAATGTCCATAGTAATAGTTTGATAGATTTGCAAATGATAATTGATGGTTTGCAATTCTTAAGTATCTATTTATTTAAATCTTTATAAAGAAAGTTTAGATAAAACATCGCTGATCATTGTAATTTATGAGAGAAAAAAAAGTGTCTTCTAATTTATTTTATAACTAATCTGAATTGTAATGTATTTCAGAATTGAATGTCCAACTCCACGCTCGGCTGCCATGACAGTTTCGTTGACAGTTTTGTGTTTGGTTCGGAGCAGTTCGGAAACGGAATGCGAACGTTCCGCAATTAATCGCGAATTTATTACGTTAAGAGTGAATAATAAACATATATTTTCATAGGAAGTACTGATTAAACGACTGGATAATCGCCGGAGCATGTCACTTATTGTGGAGCTCCGCAATCAACACCATTCGCCAGTTATATATGCAGCAGTATATTGTATCACGATTTGAAATCGTTCCAGTGAGTATAGATTCCGATGCGATTGATACATGAAGATAATTTTTTTCTTTGAAAAAAGTTGAATAAAGCTAAATTGACTGATCAAAATCTTTTTCTCTCTCGATCGAGAAAATGATACAAAAACGCTGACAACAAAATAGTATAAAAAATTGATACGCTTTATATATTAGGTGTAGTAAAACGAAATCCATTATTTTTCCATTAGATAACATGCAAAAATAATGGATTTCTTTTTACTGTACCTAATATTTAGTTTATATATTAGATGTTAACTATTATATAAAAAATTAATTATATGAAGCATTATTTAACTAAATGAACAATAGATTTTCTACATAATATCATTTTTCACACATTATACGCATAATTTAATTAGAATATTTAGTCTATATTATGTTGTGATAAACAATGGAGGCAATCCTTTTCTGCCTTGTTTACTATTAATTGTTCTACAGATTAGAAGCATTTAGATTAATAGCATAATTTATAATATCGTGGTTGTGTTAAATACAGTAATGATATCATATTCTCTATAAGATATTGTACGTGCATGAGTTAATTAAAATACATGGTATAGCTTAATGCACAATTGGAAAGCACAGGCAATAAGAACAGGGAATAAAAGATTTCAGAAATGGAGAAATGTGTATTCTGATATACACAATCTCTGACAGGTTATAATCTATTATTCCCTGTTCCTCTTTCTTTTCAATCCTCATCCTATTATATATTTACATCCTGTTGATTTTCAATTATGTCGCAGATTTAATTGGCAGTAATCGCGACTGTTTCCTACATTATTCATTGTTTTGTAAATTAAAAAAGTTAATTGTTTATAAGTTAATTATAAAAATATTGTATTTTTTACATAATTATTTTCAAAGTTTTATTAAAATTTCATTTTTTAAATATTTAATAAATTTTATATGTTTAATAAATTGTTTTGTTTCAAAATATTTTTCGGATTGAAATACACGATATAAATAATTGTGATATAAATAATTATTTTCCAAGATTACTAGTTAATATAATTGTTATGATTTCGTCTTATACTTTAATTATCTTGATGCATTTTGATTTTACGATATGTATATTTTGATTTTATACGAAATATGCATACTTTTACAAAATTTACATTTTGAATTATATTATAATATTTTTGAATTTTCACATTGATAATTTTATCTTTGATTCAATGAATACCCAGTGAGAGATGACAATGGAATCGACACCAATTCGATGATTTCAACATCGAATCGATTCAATGTCGATTCCATTGTCATTTCTTACTGGATATAATAACGCATATGCATTACACAGAAAAATTTCTTTTTATTAAATTATATTTTACGATTTCATTTGAATTAATGATGTGCATTATTAATTTTAAATTTTATAATATATAATATATAATATATAATATATAATAGACAGTGAAACATGACAGTCGGCAAGAGGGTATTTTTCATTTATTGAGTGAAATTATGTATACTACATATTAGGTGTGGGGAAAAAGTTTGTGGTGTTTTTCCTGTTACATCTAACGGGAAAAACGCCACGAACTTTTTCCCACACCTAATATTTTTTGCATATATATATGCACTATGATAATGCAATTAGAAAATGGAAATTACGGGTGATACGAAGCATATGTATTACTTTATCGTATGCAGAATATAAATATACAAATCTTTAGATAAATACCTGGAACTCGTTCTTGAGCCTCCAAAGCAGCAGTTAAAAGTGCACATGCGTTTCCGGGGCTTAAAGTAACAGACACGTGTTCTTCACAACTTCTCCAAAGTTCCTCTATACCAAGTTCTTGCGCTAGACCCAACATTTCAAAAATTCCACTATCTTGTAGTATTATCTGCAATTAGTTAAAAGCATACATATGTTATTATTATTTTTATTATTTTTTATTATTTTATACAGAAAAAACTTAAAAAACTTTTTGTTCCATGTTATTTAAAACTTTAAACTGTATATTTGACAATATATATATATATATATATATATATATATATCAATAAGAGCTATGAAGATTTCAATATATTTAAATTTTTAAACAGACATTTCGACGTCTTTATTGTTAGATCATCTTCAGTGTATATAATATAGAAAATTAAACGCAAACATTAACAGATTCATATAACAGTTGGATATAAATACCAAAATTATAGTTATGCTAACATGGTCATGTTTCTTCATGTGTTTTATGCCGTAACAATATAATATTCTCTCTCTCTCTCTCTCTCTCTCTCTCTCTCTCTCTCTCTCTCTCTCTCTTGTAATTTTCGTAGTTATTCACCTATTATATCATTTTATGTTGATAATAAAAATATGAAAATGTTGAGTCAGTCAATAATTAGTATAAACACATATTCTGTTATAAAATTTATATAATAGATTATGGATAAAACTAATAACGAATGAGCATTATATTTACAAATTGTTCGCACATACTAATGTATAATCGTTAAATATTAATAAATATATTTTATACATAATAATTAAAAATAGTGTACATATAATATCAAATGAAAAGGCCTAACAAAAATATTAATCCAATAATTAAAACAGTGAGTCAAATTAATCTTTAAGAAGCAAATCAGAGTCAAAATATTCCAACTTGTTTAGTCAGAAACCTCTTGTTATATGATAACGTGTGAGCGACATTCAGATGTTTTGTAATAAACTGTTGAAAACGGGAGGAGATATGAAAGTAGATATGAGAATAAAAATATGGATAGGAATGATGGAAGTAAGAAAGGAAAAAAGAAGACTAAAAAGGAGAAAAGAGGTTGCAAGATCTGAAGATAAGAATTAGAAAATGATTCCGTATTATTTTGTTTGTTCAATCCTAATTTCTATTTTTTTTTATGTGAATTTCAGAGATTAATTATTATTTATAAGACTAATATGTTTATTATAAGAATAAGTTCTTTATCTAAGCTCTTTCCAATTGAAATTATGACGTCTTTCCAATTGAAATTATAATTGTAATTGATATGATGATCAGTAATCACCGATGAAGAATCAATTTTTTTCTTAATGTCTGAAATGTGTTCATTTAATTTTGTTTTTAATTTTCTTTTGGTTTGTCTTACATAACTAGCTTCACAGTCTTCACAAGAAATTTTGTAGACAACATTGTGATTAGCTAAAGGATCTAATTTATCCTTTTCTCTAGTTATAAGGCTTTTTAATGTATTCGGAATGGAATATATTAGTTTGCAATTACATTTATAGGCTATAAGCAAAAAATTTTCAGAGATAGATTTTATGTATGGAATTGTGAAAAATTTTTCTTTGATATGGATATTATGTTTTGTATTATTGTTACGTATGCGATGTTTTAATCTTTTTTTTATTGTTGAAAAAATGAAGGAAAGAGGATAGGTATTATTGAAAAAGATATGAAGCCTCAACCAAAACTTTCTTTTGAAAATCAGGATGATTTAATTTAATTATTTTATTAATTACAAAACCAAAGACAATGCCTTTCTTATGACTCAGAGATTGGTATTGGTATAAAAATTAAAAAACCTGAACAAATAACTTTCTGATATCTATCAAAAATGATCTTACGAATGTCAATCATAATCATAGTGTCCAAAAAATTTAATCTGCCATCAGTATCGATCTCCATAATAAATTGTAGTTTGACATGTAAAGAGTTAAAGATTTCTAGTATTTTATTAATCTATCGACTGGAGCTGCTAAAACGATGTCATACCAGAAGTAGAATAATAATTTTATTCTATTTCATTTTCATTTCTTATCGTTTTAAAATATTGGGCGCATTATCGAATGTCGAGAATTGAAACTTAACTCGAAATCGATCTACTTTTATTTACGTAAATGCGATAACTAAGTGCTCCTTATGCTCGTTTTCACCAATAGTTCTAAAGATTAGAAAAAGACGAAGAGTAAGTTGAACCGAGATTAAAGTTAGTTTTATATTGGTGGAAATGGGCATTAGTTTTTCTTCCTGAATGCATCCAATATTTTAAAACGATGAGAATGAAATGATACGAGCGTTAATTAAGTGCGTTAATTAAGTGGAACGCGCCCATAGTCATCAAATTTTGCTTCTGCATTTGATGAATCTATATCTATTATGACTATTAAATAATTGTAACATAAAATTAGATTGTTTTTATTAATTGCATTGCATAAAAAAATAGATAAATAAATTTTTTTAACTTCCAAATTAACAATGATAAAAAATTCATTATTGGTTAGATTATAAAATATATAATTGATCTTTAAAATCTGTTTCCTTCTCTCATTGATAATGTTTGAAATATTTCCCATATTTGTCCATTTTAAATTCAATAAAATACAGTTTTTATCCGAAAAAATAACAATAATCAAGCGAATTTAAAAAAATGTTATAAACATGAATTACGCATATCTACACCTAACTGAGTCGAGAATCTGATAGATATAGACTAGTACTGAAAATCTACAGTACATATAACGAATTATAAATTTTCACTACTGGCAGTGTATATTGGAACTTGACCTATATGTATATAATAGATGTATTGTGTATATGTGCAAAATAATTGGAGCAACCATTTTTTAGTTCGTAAATCAAGCATGAAGTATGAGCATTATTGTAGAAAAGTAATCATTTTTGGAAAAGCTGATTGAAAAAAGAACCCTAAGGATCGGACTCACTAAGTAACCCAAAGTAGCCACATCGGATTCGCTGAGTAGCCCAATCGACTATCAGTACAGACAATCACAAAAATTTAGTAACCACTTAGCAAACCACTTGCAAAGTAGCCCAATCGGCTACAAGTAACTTAATTTAGCAATACTGCGACTCCCCCTCCCCCCGTTCGCTCTACTCGATCGGTACGCTATGCATCGTCACTATGACTTACCGCTATTTGATCCGCTACAATATGTATATATAACAATTGAAACATAATATTTATATTTTGAAAGGTATTATAGAATTCTAAATAAAAAGAAAGAAAGGATTTAAAAAATTGTTAACATGAACTATATTAAAAATTATAAAATTTATATTATAAATTTTATGTTTATTAATTGTTAAAAATTATACTTTAAAATTTTATGATACATATAAAGAAATCCATAAGGAAAAATAAGTTATGAAGTATCATAATAAATTTTTTAAAGAAACATTTTTTTAAATCAATACATTACACTTATTTGTAAAAGTATAAGCATAGCATTTGCTAGACATTTATCAAAAATTTTAAATTGTTTTTCTTATCGTTTTAGCTTTTTCAATAAAAATAAAACTTCAAAATGGAGTTTGAGGATTGTGTTAAAAAAATATCGAATAATAAGACATTATTGCAGAATTATATATCTTAATTACGCTTAATTTTAAAAAACTCTTAAGTTGCGTAATACCTGATACCTACCATACCGGTGTAGATGTAACGAATAAATTGGCGAAATGTTTCTGGATGCGCGTGCGGCATTCGTACCGGTGTCGGATTACCTGCTGTACCGAGCCTCTTGGCAGCCGTGAAGTTCTTGCATCTGCGAAATAATTTTTGACAACGTGTCTGTTGAAACGACATATCGCATTGAGTTTCGAATCTATTTTAACGTATTTTCTCAGAACAAACAAACGCATTTGTCCATCACTGTTGTTACTTTTCACGCGACGCTTCGCGTAACAAAAGAGCTTAATTGACTTCGTCATGAAACTGTCGAGACACACGAAATTGAGGTACAGCGTGATAGAATTGTGCTTTTCCTCTATCCTTAGAAATTAATGAAGGACAACCTTCAGAAACAGCCCCTCTGTTGTAGTTAAGATTGGAAACAAGATAGTAGAGAATATATAAATCAAGAGAAAATCCTCCCATGTTATTCATTAATTGTTCGATCTAAATCCTTTGAACAGCGACAAATATCATTTTCAATAATAGATTGTGTGAAATTGAGTCGCATATAACAGAATTCGAGTTCAAATATTAATATCACGTTTGTATAAAATTATAATACAATAAGTCGTTTATATTTGTTATTCTAATTGATAATATTGTAAAATAAATATAAGATCAATAACTATAAGATCAAATTGAAATTAAAATAAAAGCGAAACGAGAACTGACCCAGGTATAATTATAGTAAATAAAACTCGAATAAATGTTGTGCCTAGAAAAATACAATCCGACATCTTAATAGTATCCTACTTGATATGTCGAACTGAAATTGGATTTAAGTGGAGGATTTTCTAGTACGAGAAAGAATGAGGAGCAAAGTTACAAGTGCTAGTCGACAGAGGAGCGTAAATTGATTCGTTTTTCAATCGGCTCAGACAGGCTTTGTTTTTATTATGCGTAGTCTTAACAACGTTAATTAGTTTTGCCAGACAATTCTTTAGAAAGAAAAAGAAACCAATGATAATTTATGCTTTTAATATAACGACGTTTGGAAGTTAAATCCATTAATAGTCCTTATATTATTCTCTTCGCCTGTTATCCTGTGAATACTCATCACAAGCATTTTCTTTATAAAATTTGCCTCTCTTTGGCAGTAATTTTTCTTTTCACAAAAAGTGCACTTTACAAGATTACCGATTCGTATTGATTTCAGATTTATCTTTTAATTTTTTAATTTACGTTTTATTTTACGAATTTGTATTTATAATTTTATATTTTTCTATGATAAAAAACATAACAAGCCTGATTATTATAAAATACCATGAGAGTTTAGTTGACATATGATTCAATATATTGTACTCACTATATGGTAATTGATATCATCTTAATGCATAAGAAAAATTGTTTACTGATTCTATTACATAACAATTAATTACAAACACATTTTTTATTTGATTATTCCATAATACAATGAAGTTTTTTTTTATCTAAACGTATATAAATATCTAATAAACGTATCTAATAACGTAAGAAATATTGTATAATAATTTAAAAGCTACTAGTTTTAAAAGAATTTTCCAGCCAGAAATGATTATTCGAATCGATATCAATTGATTGGGAAGCACAACATTCTATTAATATTAAAAAAATACAGTTTAATATAAAAAATTAATATAAAAAAAATGACAGTTTCAGCAGCATTTTTCATATGAAAAAACAAAATATAAAAATATGACATGCTAACTTCAATCTAGCACGACAATTTTTCTCTAAAGTATCTACAAAAAAATTTAGGAGTCACTACAATAGTTCATGAAAAAGTAAATAAAAAAGTTATTTGTAAATTTTATTTGAAGCAGTAATTTTTGTAATAATAAAGTTTTAAATATGGCCAATTACGGACTATGTTTAGATAATCACATGTCTATGAATGGCTCGTATGATAGTATTAGTGAACGATAAGTAGCGAACGATATGATAAGCGCTCACTTTAGCGTGCTTTCATTAATACTTACAAGTGACTATCTAAACTAGTCTGTAATTGGTCGTTTAAACTCTTATATCTCAGAAACTCTATTGCTTAAAATAAATATTTAACAAATAATTTTTTACTTAATTTTTTTAAAACTTTCTTGCTATAATATTTTGAGACACGTGAATCTTGATACTCTGTATAATATACATATTCAATTGTATATATATATAGATATATATATATATATATATTGAGCTTTTGCATTAATTATATATGTATTTATTTGACCAAAGATAATATAAATTTTATAGAAATATTTACAATTGTTGAATTAACATAAAAATAATTACAATGAAGTAAAAAAATGAAAAAATATCAAGCACACTTATAGGAATAAAAATTTTTACCAAAACTGGCATTTTTTTTTAACAGCAATCAAATATTTTGCTTATAAAATATTTTGTTAAAAAAAATTTTATTGCTTCTGCTCAATACATTTTTCAATTTTATAAATAATAAAAATATTTATGTAATATTTATACCAATTAAACTGTTTAGTTGATAAACAAATATTTTTTATTATTTATAAAAGTGAAAATTTAGTATTGAGCAGAAATAACTAATTTTTTGTTGTATAAACAAATTTTGTTATTAAAAATATCTCAATTATATAGCTTTGATGAAGATACATTATTTTATTCCTAGTACAGTATTTGATATTGATTTTTGACATATGTCGAGTAATCATTTTTGGCTGGGTTTAACATATCAGAATTCTAAAGTGCCTAGTGATGCGTAAAGTACATCAATGTTTTTCATCGAATCGAAAAGAACTATGTCAAAAGGCATGTAGGCAGAACAGTCTTTGAAGTGTAGCGTGAACTGATGCTAGAGAAGTATACAAAATATATGAAACGTCTAGGTCGCGTGAGAAAACCGGAGATAAAGTGGATGAAAAGCACGAAAATACAGTCGAGCGCACCGGTCTCGGTTAAGCTGAGCGTTTTCGACGAACGTGGTAAAAGTTTTCGAGCTCTCGACGCAAAACGTGAAATGTTGACGGTACATATGAAATCAGGGAAGGGTGAAATGATGTTTATCCGAATAAGTTTTGTAAACCATGGTTTTACACCAGAAAATATCACGTAGGAAAATTTGACACATTCTTGTGTCAAGATTATAAAATATTACGTTTTAACATTTAACAAACCAACTATTTTAAATGGATTATACATTGTCGCAATTTATGAAACATATTTTATATGTAATAGTAAATGATTATAAATCACGTTTACTTTAGTTTTAATCACAATTATTGAAATTATTGTAATGTAATTCATTAAGAGCGATTATATGCTAATTTTTATAAATCTCTATATTCAAACAAATTGAAAATAATAAATTGTTTTCGAAATTGCAACGCATTGCAAGAATTTGCGTTTAATATCATATAATATTTTAAGCATCCTCTTTTTGTATATTTCTGCATTATCTGTAATTGTCATTCAGCTTTTTAGCTCCATTTACAATTGTTAATTGCCTTACCCTCCGGAAATCTATAATATCAAAATAAAGATTACCCGAGGCCTATTGGGAAGAACGCGGGATATTAATATTACGCGTGCTCTTTGAAAATTTTATTTCCATCTTTTCAAAGTCTATTCATCTTGGACAGGCGAATCTTCGAATATCTCTTTATCACGATTTTCAATGCGATTTTCAAAGAGCATCGTAAAGAGTTTGAGCGCGCAGTAGCATGCATTGTCCATTCATTTCGACCGCGGACATCTGTCACTAGCACGCGTAACTTAATTTTCCCAGGTTCATATTAGCGAGCAGCCGAATCTAGAAAGAAAGGAGAGAGGGGAAAGAGAGAGAGAGAGAGAGAGAGAGAGAGAGAGAGAGAGAAAGAGAAACGGAAAGAGGAGGGAGAGGAAGAGAATAATACTAAAGGGTGGAGATGACGGTGGAGATGACAAAGGTCCTGCCGTTACTTTCCGCGCCTGATATTAAAGGGATTCGTGGAAATGTCATAATTGACTTTACAATTAGCGCCGCCTTGTCTCATGTGCCAACCCTCCGGACAAGTTCGCTTTCCCTCTAAATATCAACCAAATTCTCCTTATGAATCTACATGAAAGAAAGAGAGAGAAAGAGAAAGAGAGAGAAAGAGAGAGGGAGGGGGAGGGGGAAGGGAGAGAGATAAGGGATGAAAGTGACATGGGGTTAGGGAAAAAGAGTACTTCTCTCGTTGTATAACTAATTAGAGCAGCCAATCGATTCGTTCGCCGTAACTATCTTCATAAACCGTAACAGGCTTAATTAAAATTCATCGCCAGCGCAAATTCCGATGCTTCGCTTCATTCGCGGAAGTTTAATAAGTCGCTGTTTCTTTCAATAATTGTTTTCTTTCTTTCTACTTTTTCCAATATTTTTTGCGAATTACGAATGACAAGCTGTGTTTGTTTTATCTCGTAAAAGATATATACGTTTATCATATGTTTCAATGGAATGATTTTGAATCTTACATTAATATTCCTATTTAGTGTAATTGTAAACCACCGATTCCCTCCTCGCTCATTGAAGATCGTGTTTCTTTAAAGCATTTCATTTCATATTAAATTTAATTCCACATAATATGTATATGTGTTGAATATTTCATTCGTGGAAATATTTCCTTCATATCTGAAACTCGTACGCTTTTAAATTGCAATGTTGATTCTCTCACAATTTTTTCACGTATTTTCATGATATTTAAACTTTCCAAGGAAATTTCGTTGATAGTAATTCGTCATAATAAGCGGGATGCTACAATAAAAACTACTCAACTATTAATCCAACACCCACAGAATATCACACTCATATCTTTACCGAAATAATCGGGAATTTCTGACAATATATATGGAAAAATATCAGAAATATAAATGTTTAATACAACAAAATACAACGAAATAATCTCCACTTTTTAGAAAATTCCATTTACATTAATCGAAATTTCTTTTTCAATAAATCTCTCAAATTTATAACCTATTCAAATTTCTTTGCGTTATTAAATATTTTATTCACTAATTATGTAACATTGTAGAAACATCACGAGATCTTATTTTCTTCAAATTAAGGAAAATTAATGTTTTCATAAATAATGGCTCGTTGAGACTAACCTGGCTTGAAGTATTATTCTGTGGGCATAAACAGGGGTCTCGTCTCTCCCTAGTAGGAACACGATATCAGCCGAGTCTTTATCCTCCGAGAGTCGCGCCAGATCCTCCAGCAGTCTTGGTACACCAGCCAATCCTGCCTCACCAGACATCCCAGCAGCACCTGCCGCCGCCGCAACGGCAACAGCTCTAGTTCCCATTGTTCTCGTGCTTGTCCTTGTACGCAGACGATCGTTAATCAAAACTGAATTAAGTAATCGGCTTGAATAATTAATAAAACAAGTCCTGCAGATTGCAAACTTGTCACTTGTACCATAAATATCGATATTGTGTGTGTACAGATCCAACTTAATTTCTGTATTAAAAGCATGGGAAATAATAATAATTTATTAAAAATTAAAATTTATGTGCATCCTTTTAGAACAAAAATTAATTGTGCTATCTAAAGAATATTACGCAATATGATGGAAAAATAAATGTACTTATAATTAATCTACATTCTTTCTGAATCGATCCAGTAATAAAAACATAAACGAGGAATGTATTTGCTCTAAAGAGAGTACCCATTTATCATTTATTTCTTATCGCATCTCCGTTGTCAGGAAAATCTCTCTAATGGAAGACAACGGTAGCAATTTGCGATAATCCGAAATTAATAGGACTGCGAGAGCAGCAAGAAGTTGACAGTTGCGCGCAACGGATGGCGACGCGTCCCGTCGAGATTTTTTTTTTTTTACGGGTCGGTTACGCTGCGTCACGGACGCGGAAATTCGCGGACGTAGGAGAAAAAGCGACAAAACCGATTAAGGTACAATCGGTGCAAATTGTGCCATTAATATTTGATTTGACGCGAACGCGTGCGTTGGTTCATCCCGTCAAGCTAGAAGAGATTTTGCGTTATTGCGGTGTGGGGCGACACCAATAGCAATTGGACCTCCTGATTCCCTTTTAATTAGTTCAGGTTTTGTAGTTTTCGAACGCATCGGCCGTCAATTGTACCACGACATGAGAGCTCGCAATCAGCAGCGATCATTACCCTTCCAGCGCGTTTCCCCACCACGCGTCGTATCGTATTCCGAGCAATGTGATTCGATTAAAATGTCATTGCCAGGGATGCTTTAACATTTGTCCCTGATAATGCCATAAAGAATTAATTAGTATTTAGATCGTCTCGAATAGAAGCTAATGATAATACGCGCGAGAAATTGATCACTTCTGCTCTTTGCGATAGGTATTCTTATGTTTAACACATACGTTTCTCAGCTATATATTTCAAATCATTAATAAAAGTTGACTATGATAATGTATCAGATGTAATAATAATAATGAATCTTTATTTGAAATTAAATTTTTGCACGTTTTTTGATGGATACAACAACATATGACAAAATTTTAGACTGTAGTGTTTTAAGTATTCTGTTTGCACACGTAAAATGTAATTTATCCATATTTAACATGATACATATGTAGATATTTTAATAGTCTTAAAGTGAGAAGAGGGAGTCTAAATAAATTATTTAACAGTAAAATATTAATTTAAAAATATAGATCGAGCTTTTATTGTGTGACTGTAACAGTCAACACAATAAAAAAATATGAGAAAGCAAAATAATCGCAATTAAAGACAAAACGACATTGCCGTTCTATTTTAATTGACAATTTATATATAAACAAATATTAAAAATCATAAAATCATGAAATGTCTCTTTTTAAAGCCATCGATAATGTTAAAGAGGGTCCAAGCAAATCTAAATCACTTTGTAAATTTAGTTAAATTTGATCAATATTTTTTAATGTAAATGACTTCAAAAATTAATCTTTTTCTGTAATGTAATTTTTCGTCCGAAAGTGAAATGTTATCCCAATCAAAGAAAATTTTTGTCTATGATTAGTGGTATTTTTGTTAATGATTTTTGTATTCCAAAATCCTGGTCTCTTAGTTAACAAACTTTGGATTTAGCTTATTTAAGAGATATTGTCTCTTAAATATTCTATTATAAACAGTCAATTTTATAAATAATAATCAACTCTTTTTAATTTAATTTTTTCTCTATACATTTTTTGCACAAAAAGTACTAAAATCACGAAACGTCTGCTATTACTAATGACGATATTTATGTATGATATTTTAATAAAAAATAAACACTTATTATCTCTTTTTTTCATCGAAAAATATCATGTGCCTTATGAAAACTTTATACATTGACATGTGATTAAACATAAATAGAATCCGGTTTGGAATCAAAGATTACATGTCACATTATACAATAGTGACAACATTATTGATAAGATCTGGCAATTTTTTCGCCAGAAAATTCAGCGCCGCAGGCGAGCAATCGACGAATCAATCGAGTGACGCTTACCTTTTCGCACAACCGGATCAGTGAGATGCTTGTCAAGAGCACGAAAGGAACTAATTCTTAGCAGATCACATGGAAGAGGCCAGTAATCGAACTTTGCACTGTGTGTCTTTTATTCTGATTATCGTTGTGAAAGTTTTTGTTTCCGTTACTTTCGAGTCTTCGTCGTTTTGAGAAAAATCACTGCGACAAAAGAAAATCTTCAGGAAAACTTTTATCTTTCAAGACGAGTTCGTTTTACGAGCGCTGGACCAGGTCCTCGCGCTCGACTATGCTACCTCTCAAGCAATCTCAGAGGCCGGTCTCTCTTTCTCTCTTTCTCTCTTTCTCTCTTCCTGCCTTCCACCGTCGCTTCAGCTCAGTCACACTGCCGCCTGATACCTACGTAGCTCCTTTTTCTGCTCATGTTCACCGTGTCTCTATCTCACGGGACTTGTACTCCCGCAAGATCTCTGCTCCTTGGGCCCCGTTGTTGCCAGATCGTCCGTGAATCACACGGTCAAAAAGCGTTCGCAATGCTACGTTCTCATGAGCGACTCTTCCGTCTCTCTTTGGGTTTCATCGCATTTTTGCAACTCGTTTTTCACACACGTGAATTTAATAGAGAATATTTTAAATTAACCATATTTCCGGATGAGTGAAGATTAGAACATTCGCAAGAAGTATTTTGCCAAATTCGACAGATAATTGACTTGCAACCACATTTCATATCTTCTGAAAAGAAATTCCATCTATCTCCGAATTTGAAATTCAATAACAGGAAGTATAGTTATTATCATTTCGGAAATAGTTTCATATATTTTGTGGTTTTGCGGTAAAACAATAGAATCAGTGTGATGCGGTTCCATTTATTCTTCGAATAAGGAAGATCGTCTTGTTTCTTTTCATGACCATTCAACTTTCCTTCGATTCGAAACCAATTGCTCGAAACCGCGGGAGTTAGTATTGTTATATCATTGTGTTTCCGAGATTGTTACTCACTGAACAATATAATTGAGATATTTTCTCTTTTATTATTCAAAGTAAAAAAGAGTTTTATAAAAATTATTAAAATTTTCCGCGTTTCTTACATTTTAAAACATAATAATAATAGCTAATTGTACGATAATATATAAAATACTTTTTAAAAATATTTTACTGAATATAATTTTGTGTGTATTGAATTTAGTTTAATTAATTATATTTTTCAAAATGAAATCTACGATATGATTATGCTATATGTTCTTTTTCCAATCTTTTTGCGCTTTCATTACGCTTACTTCTGGTCGCTGCTTTCCACTCCTGCAATTCTGCAGGTATTGCAGCTGTTTCTGTGATAATACAACAAATGAAAAATCTCTCGAGGGTATATTTGAAGGATATAAAGAACTGGTCTTACTAGATCGGTCGATGGTAAAGTAGGCTTAAAATTTTCATGATCCTCAATAGATGTCCAACATTGATCATCGATCGGTTGAATATATCGTGTAATAAATATGAATTGTTTTACAATCGTTAATTTTATTAACACTACATAATTTATAATTAAAAAGATTATATAAATCAATTATGAAAACTGGTCAATATCGATAATAATCGATTTAACAATTAAATATTGATAGGTAGAATTAATAAATTATTATGTTTTATAATCAGATTTATTAACTAGTATAAATTTTATAAACACTTTAAAATTTTAATAAATTTAATACCTTAGTATACATGATTGTATATTACGTATTTCTTTCCTTTAAATACACAATTTTACAAATACTTTCTAAAGTATACAAGTATAAGAATTATTTAATACTTTTCATACATTTGTACAAAAGTGATGAAAATTAATCCAGACAAGACTCAGAAAGACTCATGTACAGTAAAGATCCAGAAAATCATTACGTATACTAAAGGTTAATAATATATTATTAATTAATTTATTAATATTTTATTACTAATTATTATTAGATTGAGAATGTACGAGATATTCCAACGACTACAACTTTATTTATTATGCATATAATAACCTATTTTGGAGATTAATTGGAATAGATTAATTGAAACAGAAAATATCAATATGAAAATATCAGAATCTAGGGTAATGCCGGTATATACGCCGCACCTATTAAAAACTTAATTTATTAAGTATTATTTACTATGTTTATAGTAAACGAACTATATCAGTAAAAAACTTTGTACTGTCTACTACTATGAAAAAAAATATTAGAAATCCAAAATATTTATTTTTTATGTTAAAAAAATCAACTTTTTGAAATCCTTGCATTTTTGCCGTATATCCCATAGGGGTGGATATATGACTTATAGGAGGAGAGGGAGTATGTACGGCTCATGAAAAATTTACAATAATGCATATAAATAAGATGTATAATGACATAATAACAAATAAATAATATAAAATGTGTTTATAAAGTTTTATTAAGGAATAAGAATGATAAATATTTATGTATATTTATGAAGTAATAAATAATAATTATAATCTTCCAAATATTACAAGTGTTATAACATGAAGTGTTATAACATGAAGTACATTTCATATAATGCGTTTATTGTATTTAATACACTGAATTCAATCTGCGCATTTTGTATGCTTTTGGGCATAAATCTTACTAAAAATGCTGTATATTCCAAATAGATGGGATATACAAGACAATAAATTAAACAAAGAATACGAAAGTAAAGCACTTGTATTTTGTTATACAACGTGCTTTATTATTCCTCTACACTCATGTATCACGAAATAACCACTAAGTATTTTACATCTACAATAATCATTTTATGTAGATTATAATTTATGATGGCGTTACTTATTGCAGTGATAAATCGATTCAACTCACAATAATTTC